AACACAAGAACCCAAAGACTAACAGAAATAATTGTGAGGGACGGGGTGTTTTATAGGAGATGGAGTGTGAACTGGGGCGATATGAGAATTAATGAAGTTGTGTTTTCTTTCATACCATTAGGCTGTGCCTACACTGTGTGCTTGGCACTATGCCAGGCATTAGATTTAAAAAACATGTTTCAGTTACCAAGGAACTCACAGTCTTGTTATCACGACAAATATAGGAAAGCAGACAATAACTAGAACCTCCTGGAACATTTTAGTGTTTCAATTTTTAAAATAGAGATTTTTCGCCGGGCGCGGTGGTTCACGCCTGTAATCCCAGCACTTTGGGAGGCCGAGGCGGCTGGATCACGAGGTCAAGAGATCGAGACCATCCTGGTCAACATGGTGAAACCCCATCTCTACTAAAAATACAAAAAAGTAGCTGGGCATGGTGGTGTGTGCCTGTAATCCCAGCTACTCAGGAGGCTGAGGCAGGAGAATTGCCTGAACCCAGTGGGCAGAGGTTGCGGTGAGGCGAGATCGCGCCATTGTGCTCCAGCCTGGGTAACAAGAGCGAAACTCCGTCTCAAAAAAAAAACAAACAAACAAAAAAAAAACAGATTTTTTCATTAGAGTTTGAAAAAGTTAATTAAGAAGTTTTCTTCGGCTGGTTTGATCTGATTACCCAGCTACCTCCCTATTTTAGATGGAAATTGAGGCTCACCCATAGAGGTTAAGTAATATTTCCAAAATCAGTCACAGGTGACTAGAAGCATGAAAGGAAAAGGCCAAATCTAACACTCAAAATTACTCTTTGTCATTACATCATAATAGCTCATTTATAAGCCACTAAATGAATGCCTCTACTCTGGTTTTTCATGCATAGCTGTATGGAAAAGAACAGTGCAGTGAAAAAAGCATGGCTACATAATCAGAGCAACCTGGTATCTTTCTGACAAATTTACACTACTTTGTTTAGCATTAAGCCTGGTTGTAATAAAACAGCTAAGTGTTCTGGAAGAAATTATGATAAATCAATGCTACTAACAAAAGACTGGACATGTGAGTTTGCACCTGCTTATTAGGCTTTATCCCTGTCCCAGGATTTGTTAACAGATTATATCAGAATCTCTCAGCAAAGCTAACTGAAAAGTGAAGACGGAAGAATGACAGTAGTAATACTAATTGATGTCTTGTTAGAAAACAGCCATACCAAACAACCTTTAGGTCTTACTTTATCCTACAAATGTAACTAGTAAATTAAGGAGGTAATACAAAATCAAGGAAATCCAGTTTTAAAGTATAAATATTTTTCATGTGCTCTAACAGAGCCCTCACATTTCATCTATTCACAACATTTTCTACAGCTCTGCTAAATAATTTTGATAAACCTGTTTCTCAAAAATGCCTTAAAACTGCTACCACTGTCTAAATTGAAAGCATACAGTTTTTCTTAATACTGAAAACTTTGTCTTATTATTGAGAGCATTGTCTAAACTGAAAGCCTAACTTCTCAATTACCGTATTTTTGAAATTGCACACAAATATTATACTAGTTAGGCTGAAGGGAAAAAATATGCCAATCACACTTTTTACAGCCCTAAAATTCTCTTTGCTTTTGTTTTCCAAATGTTGAATCATGAAATAAAGGAAACAGACAATGAAAGACAATGAAAAGAACCCAAAGAAGGAGTTCCTCTCATATTTCAGGCTTCCTAATTATGGTATCTTGGTCTTGTTAAGCATGTAACTAAAAAGCTCAAGTTCACTTTCAGAAACTGTGAACTCAAACATAGAACTAAAACGTTTATTTCTAAAAGTTATTACACGTTCAACTTCCTGCTTTATTTAGACAGCTCATCATGACCATTTCAGGTAACAAAACCCAACTTCCTCTTTATAAAGTGATTTAAAAAAAAAACTTCAGCAGTTAGTTATGAGAATGGATGATTTTACAAAAATATTTATATGGAAATTAGAGTTCATTCCTTATCACGAAATTTTCTAAAAGTTTACTGCCTTTAAAAAATGTAATAAAGATAAAATGCCATATTGACATATATTTGGCAACAAAAGGAGTATGCTAGAAGAGGAAACTGGTCACAGACCTGCTATTATCAAACCAAGACTGGACCTGCACCGTAGCTCACGTCTGTAATCCCAGCACTTTGGGAGGCTGAGGCGGGAGGATCATGAGGGCAGGAGTTTGAGATCAGCCTGGCCAACACAGTGAAATCCCGTCTCTACTAAAAATACAAAAATTAGCTGGACATGGTGGCAGGCACCTGTAATCCCGGCTACTCTGGAGACTGCGACAGGAGAATCGTTTGAACCCAGGAGGCAGAGGTAGCAAGGAGCTGAGACCACACCACTGCACTCCAGCCCGGGTGACAGTATGAGACTCTGTCTCAAAACAAAAACAACCCAAAACTATTAATGTTATTAATTAAAACACTGTCAGTATCTAAAGGCATCTTAATTGGCACTTTAAAAAATATATTTTCCCAAGTTTAATTAAAGGCATTCTAACCTGGTATCAAAGACAAAAATTCAACAACACTGGTCAATGTGTACCACGTAGGCACAATAAACTGAAAAGTTTATTATTCAAATTATTTGTGAAATTTTGGCTGGGTGCGGTGGCTTAAGCCTGCAATCCCAGCACTTTAGGTGGGTGAGGCAGATGGATCGCTTGAGCTGAAGAGCTGGAGACCAGCCTGGGCAACAAGACAAAACCCAGTCTCTACAAGAAATACAAAAATTAAATGGGCATGGTGGCACAAGCCTGTAATTCCAGCTCCTCGGGAGGCTGAGGCAGGAGAATCGCTTGAACCTGGGAGGCGGATGTTGCAGCAAGCCAAGATTGTGCTACTGCACTCCAACCTGGGCGACAGAGCAACACTTTGTGTCAAACAAAACAAAAACAAAAAAAAACTGTGAAATTTTATTCTAACAGCATTTTTGCTTACTTTTATTTGAATCGTTAACTATTTCCTTTAGAACAATTTATTATAGATTAATTTCCAGCATAAGCTCATATATAAATGTCTTTGTTTTTCTCCTAAATCTTAAACATTTATGAAGATCAGTTTCCAAATAAGAGAAAATCTAATGCTGCTGTTGTTCGATGGCTTGTCAAGCATTTCAAAATGGCATGCTATATGTAGCTACATCAAGTTATTCTGTACAGAGGTCTTATGGATCTTAACAGTACCCTCCCCATTCCAATTTCTTATTAAAAAAGACCCAGGTAGATTTACAGAGTACTCAAGGGGGCACATTTTCTAACAGCCACAGTGGGAGACAAATGTCATAATTCTTGTGCAATAAGTTGTCTTGTGAAATCCACTCTAAGTTCTATGTGCCCTAAAATCATGTACTTACTGAAAAGCCTGACAAACGGTTATGAAACTGTGCAACTGTCAGAAGAAAAGTTAGTCCACCTAACTTAGAATGTGCTCTTGTATTTAAGACAATTTTCAAGAAATAAGTATACAAATTGCACACTGACAAATTCAACTAATCAAAGACTCCACAGCGGAGCATCAAAGAAGGCAGGATGCTTTGTCCAGACTTGAATGTGTTAACAGGAGGTTTATTACGTGTTAACAGAAATCCATCAGCTATTCTAGATTTGTTAACAAGAAACAAAATTTTCAAAAAATTATCGTTAAAAGGATGTGTCTATAGGGAAAGGCTGGTGTTCAAATTCCGAAGCAAAGGCCCTGAGGCTCACAGATTACAGCGAATCAGTCAGGCGACAGTATGTGAGAAAAAAGTAGTGGATGTGTAGTGAGGTGGACATTTGGGACCTCTCTCTGTCGAGGAGTCGTGACAGCAAAATCACTTCCTGAGGAAGGAGGAGCAAAAGGGAAGTTAAGAGGCCATCCTGATCAGGAAGTGACTCGCCCTAAACTAACCCCACTTATATCTACAAATGGGGGGATGGGATGAGCCCCAACTGCTAAAGGCGGTAAAACAACTGCTTTTTGGTATGTCGCAACATAACCTTCACCCACTCCCAAAATTACAGAAAAAAGTCCACAGTCACCATCCAGTAAAGGAAATGTCCGTTCCCCTTGCAGGGAGACCCCTGGGCTGTGCCGTAGGCCCGGGAGGAAAGGACAGTCGAGGAACGAGGAACTGGGGCCACCGTGAGGCAGAGGAAAGCCCGGTAAGAGGGAAGCGTCCCGACTGCGGAGAGCGTATGTCAGTATGAGCCAAGAAGTTTCTTTTTCCTGGAGACACTGCCAGGCTCCCAACGCAGCCCGGCCGGGCCCCTGTTCCCTGTCGGGGGAGGAGGTAAGAGAAAGAGGCGGACACCCCTTACCTTCTCCTCATCCGACACACGATCATCGAAGTCGGCCATCTTGGGCTGTTCTGGCCCAGCCCGGCTGCGGGCGCGAGGCAGGCCGGGAAGGAAGCCGAGTGATGGAATCACCGCGGGGGCCGTCGGAAGGACCCGCCCGGAAACGCCGACCGCGAGGGCGCCATGTCAGTGATGCGCGGGGGTGACGTCTCCTAGTGCCAGCGCCCTAGGGAGTCGGCTTTTGCCCTCGGTGATTTGAAGTCTCATATCTTTCTCATTTCTCATCCATCTAATGGGCGCTGGCAGCGTGTTTCGGTTTTTCTTGGCTCCTGGCCTCCATCCAAGTAGCTATTGCTATCCTATAAGTTTTTCTGGGACCCGTTTATCTTCATGACAGCCGAGTCCAAAGCTCTAAGAGCTGCTCGGCCGCTGGAACGATCCGTGGCTTTTCCAACCCTGGTGGGGGCCGGGGTGTGAAAGGTGACGCTCATCTCGCTTGGAAGCAGTGACACTTCCCTTTGGGGTCACAGCTCAGTCCAGTCCTCCAGAACAGGCACTGCTGTCCGCCCCTTCCCTGCCCCACGAAGGAATAGGTAGCCCCAATCTTGGGACACGCTCCTCCCCCTTCGAAATCTTCTCGTCCCGATTCCCCAGGACCCAGCCTGCACAGACACCAACTTAAGGTCCGCCACTATCCCAGGATTCCCGACTCCCGGTTTCCTGTCCCTCTCCCCTCCCAGCTCCCGGCGCCTGCGGTAGCGGCAAGATGGCGGACCGTGGCTGTTTGGCGGAACCCGAGGCTGCCGGAGCGTCTCTTGCGCTTGTACTCGGCCTAAACCCGATTCTGGGCTTCAGGGAGCGACTGCGGGCCGGATTGGCGGGGACTGGGGCCTCGTTGTGGTTCGTGGCGGGACCGGGACTGCTTTACGCTCTGATCCCTTTGAGGCTGTGTGAGAATTTGGCAGCGGGTGAGAGGACCAGACCTTCTGGGGCAGAGCTGGGGGCCAGGAAGCGGGGTGTGGGCAGGAGCCAAAGGGCAGAGATGTCGGTAGTTCTGACTCTGAGGAGTCGGTGATGCGTGACCAAGTGCATTCTTTTTTTCTTCTGGGCCGCGACCTTGCAGTTGACTGTCAAACCTGCTGCCGCTACCGGCTCCTCCCTAGAACTCTTAAGGTCCGCCCTCTCTCTCCTGTCCTCGTTTTTTTCCGTGGAAAAGCCACCTGACAAACTATAAGCTTCAGCTCTGTGGACAGAAGAGTGCATGCTCAGCTTAGGATACATAATTTATGTACACCCCCACCACTGGTAGGATCCCTTAAAAGTCACTACTTTGAGTCTCCCACCGCCCAGCTGAGAGAACTCATACCCAGACAAGGAAAATGAGCACAAATGAGCACACCGGCAGTTTAAAGATTTCAAAGAAAGAAAATGGCATGATTTTAATTGACCGTTCTCTTGTCTGAAGATAGTTTTGTTAAGAAATGGTTTTCGTGATATTTGTGTCTGTCCTTTTAGGCTTATCTTGACTAATAAAATAGTACAGGAAATGAGACAGCACCACAAACAGCAGCGGGGTTTGCTAGTTCTTTCAACATCTGTAGAGCACTTGCTATGTAGTCTTTGCTGAAAATACAAAGACATGTAAGAAGTGGTGATCCTGATGGATTCATATATACTGTACTATTCTTTAGCTGTAGATAGGACGAAGTGTTGAGGGCCCAGGCCCTCTTACCATGTGATTATATTTCACTCAAGGTCAGAGCAGCAACCTCGGAACAAGATGGAAGTATTTCTGTTACATGATTCAGTACAGTGGTTGATTTTTCTGTAGCCAAAGGCAGCAAATGGCCCCTTTCCTGTTCCTGAGATGACATGAAAGACTGTGAGGTAATGTTCGGAAATATTTTGGCTGTTTTAGGGGATAGGTATGATTAAGTTCAGATATAACTTGCACACTAAAATAAGCTAAAGTGAGGTCGGGCGCGGTGGCTCACGCCTGTAATCCAAGCACTTTGGAGGCCAAGGCGGGTGAATCACCTGAGGTCGGGAGTTGAAGACCAGCCTGACCAACATGGTGAAAAAAGCTAAGCTGAAGTGCTAATTTGGCATCTCTGTAACAGGTGAAGTACATAACAGTGGTTAATATGCGCAGTGTTACTGATTGATTTGTCATTTATTTTTCTACATGTTAACCATTACAACATTTAATAAGAATAGTTGATTATAGATTTTTTTTTCTTTTCTTTCTCTTTTTTTTTTTTTTTTTTTCGGTAAGACAGTCTTCCTCTGTTACCCAGGCTGGAGTTCAGTGGCAAGATCACTGCAGCCTTGAACTCTTTGCTCAAGCGATCCTCCTGCCTCAGCTTCCCAAGTAGCTAAGAGTACAGACATGCACCACCATGGCTGGCTGAGTTTTATATTTTGTGTAGAGATTGGGTCTCTTTTATTTTCCCAGGCTGGTCTTGAACTCTTGACTACAAGCGAGCCACCTACCTTAGCCTCCCAAAACTCTGAGATTATGGGAGTGAGCCATCCTAGCTGGCCAGATTTTTCTTTCTTTCTAAAACCCACAGTATTTATGAGAGAATTATTTGAAGTGAAAAATCTGCTCCAGGATTTCAGTAAGTCAGGGAGATTTCTGTTTGTTGTTTTTCTCTTTGAGCCATTTTGCCTCTCTAGCTGACATATATACACTGTCACTCTAATTTGAGACTGTGGTTTTGTATCTTACCAAAATAATTATGGAGTAGTTTTGAACCTCCTTTGTAAAAGCATGTTTGTTTAGCTCAGGCGTCCCCAAACTTTTTACACAGGGGGCCAGTTCACTGTCCCTCAGACCGTTGGAAGGCTGCCACATACTGTGTGTGCTCCTCTCACTGACCACCAGTGAAAGAGGTGCCCCTTCCTGAAGTGTGGTGGTGGTGCGGGGTGGTGTGCGGGGCCGGATAAACTATGGGTCTGGGCCGTAGTTTGGGGACTACGGCCTGGTTTAGCTTCTTATTTTTACAGACTTGCGAAACTTCTTGTCTTTTTTTTTTTTTTTTTTTTTTTTTTGAGACGGAGTTTCACTCTTGTTACCCAGGCTGGAGTGCAATGGCACGATCTCGGCTCACCGCAACCTCTGCCTCCTGGGTTCAGGCAATTCTCCTGTCTCAGCCTCCTGAGTAGCTGGGATTACAGGCACGCACCACCATGCCCAGCTAATTTTTTGTATTTTTAGTAGAGACGGGGTTTCACCTTGTTGACCAAGATGGTCTCGATCTCTTGACCTTGTGATCCACCCGCCTCGGCCTCCCAAAGTGCTGGGATTACAGGCTTGAGCCACCGCGCCCGGCTCAAAACTTCTTGTCTTAATTATGACTTTTAAGTGCTTTAGTTTTAGTCTCTCTTTTTTTTTTTTTTTTTGAAATGGAGTTTCACTGTTTTTGCCCAGGCTGGAGTACAATGGCTTGATCTTGGCTTACGGCAACCTCCACTTCCCAATTTCAAGCAATTCTCCTGCCTCAGCCTCCTGAGTAGCTTGGATTACAGGCATGTGCCACCATGCCCAGCTAAATTTTTTTTGTATTTTAGTAGAGACGGGGTTTCTCCATGTTGGTCAGGCTGGCCTCGAACTCTCAACCTCAGGTAATCCACCTGCTTTGGCCTCCCAAAGTGTTGGGATTACAGGGGTGAGCCACTGCGCCCGGTCAGTTTTATTCTCAAAAGCAAGTTAAATTACCTCATTTGATTTGTTGCAAATATTACTAATATGTATAAGCCATTATGTATAATATATACAAATTAAAACTTTTTCAAGTGAATTTCACACTAGATATTAATAGTACTTAAGTCCCACCACTCATAAAGATACTTGCACATTTGTAACCTAAGTACTTGACATTTGCATTTTTAAAAACTTTAATTCTTGTTCTTTTGACAGTGACTGTACTTTTAAATTCACTGACACCCAAATTCTATGTGGCACTTACAGGGACATCTTCATTGATATCAGGATTAATATTTGTAAGTACTTTCTATTTCCTTCCTTCATGTTTTGGTATTTATCTAATGATCCTTTATATGGTTAAAATAATTATAAATTGTAATTACCTATTGATCAGCATTTCCAAAATGTATTCAGCATTTGAAAAGAGTTACCTATTCTGGCTGGGCACAGTGGCTCACGCCTGTAATCCCAGCACTTTGGGAGGCCGAGACGGGTGGATCACTAGGTCAAGAGATCGAGACCATCCTGGCCAACATGGTGAAACCCCGTCTCTACTAAAAATACGAACATTAGCCGTGCATGGTGGCGCGTGTCTGTAGTCCCAGCTACTCAGGAGGCTGAGGCAGGAGAATTGCTTGAACCCAGGAGGCCGAGGTTGCGGTGAGACAAGATTGCGCCATTGCACTCCAGCTTGGGTAACAAGAGCAAAAACTCCGTCTCAAAAAAAAAAAAAAGAAAAGAAAAGAGTTACCTATTCAAACAAGTCTGGGGAACACTGCATCTCCCAATCCACTTTTAGAGTTTGACAGTATTTATTTACATATTAAAGGCTTATTGTAAACTCTAGTCAGGGAGGGCTTGGGGTGTGTTGGAAATAAATGCCTGCAGAGCCCAGGTTGGTAACAAAAATGAGTGAGATTGACAGAGTTTAAGAATTAAATTCTTGTTTCCTTAAGGACTGGGTAACCTGAACAGTGCATGCCCCTTCTAAAAGAGGCTAAAGCTAATCATTGCCATGTAAACTTGCATCTAGTATTACCAGTTCTTTCAATTTTTCAGATGATTTAAAGAGAACCGGATAGGCTGGGTGCTGTGGTTCATGCTTATAATCCCAGCACTTTGGGAGCCCGAAGTAGGCCAGGAGTTCAAGAACAGCCTGGCCAAGATGGTGAAACCCTGTCTACTAAAATACAAAAATTAATTGGGGTTGGTGGCGGGTGTGTGTAGTCTCAGCTACTCAGGAGACTGAGGCACAAGAATCGCTTGAACTCGGGAGGCAGAGGTTACAGTGAGCCAAGATCATGCCACTGCACTTCAGACTGGGCGTCAGAGAGAAACCCTTTCTCAAAAATGAATGAATGAATAAATCAATAAATAGAACCCGGATATATAGTTTTGATATAAAATTTGCTCATTAAAAAAAATTGAGATGGAGTCTCACTATGTTGTCTAGGCTGGAGTGCAGTAGCTAGTCACAGGCACCATTATAGCACACTGTAGCCTTAACTCCTGGGCTCAAGCCATCCTCTCATCTCAGCCTCCTCAGTAGCTGGGATTACAGGTGTGTGCCACCATGTCTGACCACAGTATTTTAATATTGGCAACATTGGGCAGACTAAAATTTATGTGTTATGTGTTCAACCGATAGTTTTTCCAAGCGCCAGTTTCCTCATCTGTTAACTGAGGCTAATAACAGCATGAACTTTATAGGATTATGAAGACTAAACCAGATGTTATAAAAGTTTATAACATGGGGCCGGGTGCGGTGGCTCAACCTGTAATCCCAGCAATTTGGGAGGCCAAGGCGGTGGATCACGAGGTCAAGAGATCGAGACCATCCTGGTCAACATAGTGAAACCCCATCTCTACTAAAAATACAAAAAATTAGCTGGGCATGGTGGCGCGTGCCTGTAATCCCAGCTACTCAGGAGGCTGAGGCAGGAGAATTGCCTGAACCCAGGAGGTGGAGGTTGCAGTGAGCCGAGGTCGTGCCATTGCACTCCAGCCTGGGTAACAAGAGTGAAACTCCGTCTTAAAAAAATAAAATAAAAAAGTTTATAACATGGTAGCTGGTTCAGAGTGTGCACTCAGTGAATATTGGCTGCTATTATTCTGAGAATTCTCACAATTAAGAAACTTGTTTGACCTGACAGACTGGTTCATCCCTATAATCCTAGAACTTTCGGAGACCGAGGCGGACTAATGACCCAAGCTTAGGAGTTTGAGACCAGCCTGGGGAACGTGGCAAAACCCTGTCTCTACAAAAAAAATACAAAAATTTGCTGGTGCATGGCATGTACCTATAGTCTTAGCTACTGGAGAGGCTGAGGTGGGAGGATCACTTGAACCCTGAAGGGAGAGGTTGCAGTGAGCCAAGATGGCGCCACTGCACTAAAGAGCAAGACTATCTCAAAACAACAACAACAACCAAAAAAAACCAAAACTGTTTAACTTTTATTCAACTTTTCCTCTAAGAAGATATTTTTAATTAAAAAAAATTAAAGACCAGGTGCGGTGGCTCATGCCTGTAATCCCAGCACTTTGGGAGCTTGAGGCAGTCAGATCACCGGAGGTCGAGAGAGTTCAAAACCAGCCTGACCAAGATGGAGAAACCTCGTCTCTACTAAAAATACAAAAAAATTAACCGGGTATGGTGGCGCATTCCTGTAATCCCAGCTACTCAGGAGGCTGAGGCAAGAGAATCACTTTGAGCCGGGAAGGCAAAGGTTGCAGTGAGCCAAGATTGTGCCACTGTACTCCAGCTTAGACAACAAGAGCAAAACGCCATCTCAAAAATAAATTAAATAAAACATTTTTTGCCGGGCGCGGTGGCTCAAGCCTGTAATCCCAGCACTTTGGGAGGCCGAGGCGGGTGGATCACGAGGTCGAGAGATCGAGACCATCCTGGTCAACATGGTGAAACCCCGTCTCTACTAAAAGTGCAAAAAATTAGCTGGGCATGGTGGCACGTGCCTGTAATCCCAGCTACTCAGGAGGCTGAGGCAGGAGAATTGCCTGAGCCCAGGAGGTGGAGGTTGCGGTGAGCCGAGATCACGCCATTGCACTCCAGCCTGGGTAACGAATGAAACTCCGTGTCAAAAAAAAAAAAAACAAAAACAAACATTTTTTATAATCCATATTAATATCCCTAGGATGTAATGTTTCCTAATGTATACTTTGGAACAATACTGCTGCAGATAAACATCTTAAGAAGTTTCATGCCATGCATAGCCAATGGGTTTTCCTTTTCTTTTTACATTTTTATTTGTTTTTTGTAAAGACAAAGTCACTATGTTGTTCAAACACCTGGGCACAAGCAATCCACCCTCTTCGCTCTCCCAAAGTGCTAAGGTTACAGGCTTGTACCAACACACTCAGCCTGTTCCTTTTTTTTTTAATCTCTAGGTGGTGCTCTCCAGCTATAACAGAAATAGCATTTGTATTGGATCTATTTTTTTTAGTGACGGCTAATACAGACCATTTTGTTAAGTGAAATACCAAACAAGAACAAGATTTTTCTCTTGGCTTAAAAAATAGAAGCTATTGAGGAATTCAGGATTAAAACTACATGTTAATATAAGCTTCGTAATTTAACATGAGCACATTTTAGCATATTTAGTCAATAGCATACAAAAGTCAATTAGTAAAGACAATAAACTACCTTTTAGCCAGGCACGATGGCTCACACCTATAATCTCAACACTTTGGGAGGTTGGGGTGGGAGAATCCCTTAATGACAGAAGTTTGAGATGAGCCTGGGCAACAGTGAGACCCTGTTTCTATGTAATATAGTTTATTATTTTTATTTTTTAAGAAACTATCATTAAACAGCTGATGTGGAAAAAGCACTCGTTTGGGAACCAAAAGATAACATTTTGAATCTTGATTCTGCCACTTAACACTTACTAGCTGATAACTTAGGGCAAGCTACATAAACTCTCTAAACCATAATTTTCTCATTTATAAGAGGGGGATAGCTGACTTATATAAATGATGTCTAAAACCTGTTAAAAAATGTTTTGTGGCCAGGCATGGTGTCTCGTGCCCATAATACCAACACTTTGGGAGGCTGACGCAGGACAATTGCTTGTGGCCAGGAGTTCAAGACCAGCCTGGACAAATGAGCAAGATCTGGTCTCTGTACAGAATTTAAAAATTAGCACATTGTGTCAGTGCACTCCTGTAGTCCCAGCTACTTCAGAGACTGAGGTGGCAGAATTGCTTGAGCCCAGAAAATCGAGGCTTCAGTGAGCTGTGATCATGCCACTGCACTCTAACCTGGGCAACAGAGTGGATCCTTTCTCAAAAAGAACAACAACAACAACAACAAAAACCCAACAAAACATTTTGTTGCACCTTATAAAGCAGCATTTTAAATATACAAAAGTGCCGGGCGCGGTGGCTCAAGCCTGTAATCCCAGCACTTTGGGAGGCCGAGGCGGGTGGATCACGAGGTCAAGAGATCGAGACCATCCTGGTCAACATGGTGAAACCCCGTCTCTACTAAAAATACAATAAAACTAGCTGGGCATGGTGGCGCGTGCCTGTAATCCCGGATACTTAGGAGGCTGAGGCAGGAGAATTGCCTGAGACCAGGAGGCGGAGGTTGCGGTGAGCCGAGATCGTGCCATTGCACTCCAGCCTGGGTAACAAGAGCGAAACTCCGTCTCAAAAAAAATAAATAAATAAATAAATAAATATACAAAAGTTAGGAAATTCAAGTAACATTTTAAAGGTTAAACTGTATCATTACCCTTGCAGTATTTATGGGTTTTTATTAGCAAAGAGTGTTGTGTTTATAATTTCTTTTACCACCTGGATTTAACAAACTTGTATAGACATACAATCACATATACATATACAGTGAGATATATTTGTGAATCAGTTTAGTGTAACAGTTGGAAGCTCTGAAGTCAGGCAAACCTCCTAAGAATCCTAGCTCTGCCAGTTACCAGTGATGTGAACTAAAGCTAGGTATTTACATTTGGAATGTGTGTCATCATCTCTAAAATCAGTTTTTGTGAAAATTAAATGACATAATGCATGACGCATAGAAAGCTTTTGATAAGTATTTGCAGTTATTATTATCATTGTTCATTTGTGTTAAAAAGTTGACTTAAAAGTTGAAAAAGCCACTAATTTCATACTCGTTTAAAAACCCACTGTTGAAAAATCCACTGCGCTTTTTATAGTAAAGGTAAGTGTGTTATTGTTACCCTTGACAGTATTTATCTTTTTTTTTTTTTTTGAGACAGGGTTTTACTCTGTCACCCAGGTTAGAGTACAGTGGTACAATTATAGCTCCCTGAAACCTCAACCTGCTTAGCTCAAGTGATCTTCCCACCTTAGCCCTAGCTGGGACTACAGACACATATCCTCACATTTGGTTCATTTTTTTATGTTTTGTAGAGATGGGGTCTCACTATGTTGTCCAGGATAATCTTGAACTACTGGCCTCATATGATCCTCCCACCTCGGCCTCTCAAAGTGTTGGGATTATAGGCGTGAGCCACCATGCCTGGCCCTATCCAATTTTCTTAACCAAGATTTCAATATGAACCTTGTCTTTTCTGTCACATGAACAATTTCTGCTTGTGTAAAGAAGTTTGATCTCAGCTCTTAGTAAAACATATGGTAGAAGTCAAATCATGGCCTCATTTGCTGATAATTACTTCTTGCTAACTTAGTAAGCATGAGCAGAAAGAAGCCATTTTATATTGAGCATAAAACATTGGTGACATGATAGAAAAAAAATGCTACACCTTGATTTTCTCACACTTTCCTATAAATGTTGTGGTGTTTAGTCAGTGGACCACAATATGACTATACTTTTGGTACCTATATAGCATAATTGTTCTTTATTTACTGAAGCAAAAAATGTTCCTACAGATTTGAAAAAACTGATTTTTTGTGATTTTTTTTGTGAAGTAAAATAGTTTTCAAAAATATCAAAATCTGGCTGGTTGTGGTAGCTCACACCTATACTCCTACCACTTTGTGAGGCCGAGGAGGGCAGAGCCCTTGAGCCCAGGAGTTTGAGACCAGCCTGGGTTACATGGTGAAACCTTGTCTTGACAAAAAATATAAAAATTACCTGAGTGTATGGTTGTAGTTCTAGCTGCTAGGGAGGCTGAGGTGGGACGATCACCTGAGCCCAGGGAGGTCAAGGCTGCAGTGAGCTGTGATCATGCCACTGCATTCCAGCCTGGCAACAGAGTGAGATCCTACCTCAAAAATATGTAAATAAGAAACAAAAAGATTAAAATCTCTTAGTTGTGGATATGCTTTGTTTATTCGTTACATACACTAATTCTTTACTACGTTTGTCAGAAGACTAGTCTATCAGTTGACTTTTTTTTTTTTTTTGAGATGGAGATTCGCTATTGTTGCCCAGGCTGGAGTGCAATGGCGTGATCTCAGCTCACCGCAACCTCCGCCTCCCAGGTTCAAGCAATTCTCCTGCCTCAGCCTCCTGAGTAGCTGGGATTACAGGCATGTGCCACCACACCTGGCTAATTTTTATAGTTTAAGTAGAGATTGGGTTTCACCATGTTGGTCAGGCTGGTCTTGAACTTCTGACCTTGTGATCTGCCTGTCTTGGCATCCCAAAGTGCTGGGATTACAAGCGTGAGCCACCGTGTCATGCCTGATTTTTTTCTTTTTTCCTTTTTTTTTTTTTTTTTTTGAGACGGAGTTTCGCTCGTTACCCAGGCTGGAGTGCAATGGCGCAATCTCGGCTCATCGCAACCTCCGCCTCCTGGGTTCAGGCAATTCTCCTGCCTCAGCCTCCTGAGTAGCTGGGATTACAGGCACGTGCCACCATGCCCAGCTAATTTTTTGTATTTTTAGTAGAGATGGGGTTTCACCATGTTGACCAGGATGGTCTCGATCTCTTGACCTTGTGATCCACCCGCCTCGGCCTCCCAAAGTGCTGGGATTACAGGCGTGAGCCACCGCACCCGGCCCCTTTTTTTTCTTTTTTTAAGACAGATTCTCAACTCTATTGCCCAGGCTGGAGTACAGTGGTGCAGTCACAGCTCATTGCAGCCTGGACCTCCCAGGCTCCAAAGATCCTCCCACTTCAACCTCCTGAGTAGCTGAAACTACAGTCTTGTACTACCTCACCCAGCTAATATCTTATTTTTATATATATATTTTTTATAGAGACGAGTTCTCACTATGTTGTCTAGTCTGGTCTAGAATTCCTGGGCTGAAGTGATCCTTCTTGAGGATTTCTCTTTTGGGTCTTGTCAGCCTCCCAAAGTGCTGGAATTACAGATGTGAACAACCATGCCTGGCCTGGTTTCTCTTTTTATAACAGTGATAAACTATGGAAACAAAAAGAAATGAATATCCTGATTTTTCAGTGGTTCAATATGGGAATCAACCTGACTCTTAAGCTATATTAGTAATTTTACCAAATACTGGAGTAGTACTTTTTGCCTTAGAAAGGACTTTCTTATAATTCTTGTTAACCACATTTAGCTGAGGCTCTGCTTTGAGATGTTGAGGTTAAGTGACTTGCCCACAGCACACAGCTAATAAATGGCTGATTTGGGAGTCAAACATGGGCATACTTATCCTACTCTAGTCCGTTCATCTGCTATGCTTATTATCTGAAAACTGTTTATGCTGCAGATAGAGTAAAATGACAATGTAACTTAACAGGGTTAAATTACTTATAGATTAAATGCTTCTTACTGTTTTTAAATGCTTTATTACATATGCCTAGTTTTGCTTAAGCTTGTCTAAATTTTATGACAAAACTATAAAAAAGATAATTTAGGCCGGGCGCGGTGGCTCACGCCTGTAATCCCAGCACTTTGGGAGGCCGAGGCGGGTGGATCACGAGGTCAACAGATCGAGACCATCCTGGTCAACATGGTGAAACCCCGTCTCTACTAAAAATACAAAAAATCAGCTGGGCATGGTGGCACGTGCCTGTAATCCCAGCTACTCAGGAGGCTGAGGCAGGAGAATTGCCTGAACCCAGGAGGCGGAGGTTGCGGTGAGCCGAGATCGCGCCATTGCACTCCAGTCTGGGTAACAAGAGCGAAACTCCGTCTCAAAAAAAAAAAAAAAAAAAAAAAAGATAATTTTACATGATATATGTTATTGGTGAATCTTGTATTTGTGTGTGTGTGTTTTTTTTTCTTTTTGGAAGGAGAGTGCATTTAACATGCTGAATTAAAGAGGACATCTGAAGAGAATGTTTTAATTTGAGCTCATATATCTGCTGATCAGTTCTAAGTGGAGGATATTTTCTGTTTGTCATAGATATTTGAATGGTGATACTTCCATAAGCATGGCCGATTTTTTATTGAGCAAGTATCTGTAAGCCATTTGCGACTACTGATGGGAGGAACAGAACACAGCATTTCAGAACCAGGTTCTCCTTCCAGGAACAGAGAAGGTAAAACCAGCAGACAGAATTTGTCAGGTGACTGCTTTCCTAATGTGTCTTCTGAGCTGTATATTTAAGATTGAGTTTGGCTCTGGGAGATAGAAAACTCAAAACAGCAGGGTGCTGTGGTGTGCATGTTTGTGTTTCCCCCCAAATTCTAATCGCCAATGTGATGTTATGAGGTAGGGTCTTTGGGAGGTGATCGGGTCATGAGGGCAGTACCCTCTTGGATGTTATTAATGCCCTTTTGAAGAGACCCCAGAGAGCTGCTTGCCACTTCTACCATGTGAGGACACCACGAGAAGGTGCCATCTATGAACCAGAAAGCAGATCCTCACTAGACACCAGATCTGTTGGTACCTTGGTCATAATAGACTTCCTAGCCTCCAGAACTGTGAAAAATAAATTTATGCTGTTTATAGTCTACCTAGTTGATGATATTTTGTTATAGCAGTCCACATGGGCTAAGACACAGAGAGAAATTTGTTTTTCATGTTAATATAGGTAGTCCATGGCTAGTATGGAAAACAATAATCATCAGATACTCAGACCCCTTCTATTTTGTTAGCCTGCCATCCAAAAATGCAGTTTTTACCTTGTAGTTTAAGACAGTTGCTCTTGCTTCAGCCATCATATCCACATTCCAATCAGTAGGAAAGAAAGAAATCCAAGGTAAGGTCACTCCTTCCCTCTACTTCACCACACAGAAGCCAAGGACTATTCTCAGAGATGTTACATACTGTTTCACCTTACTTCCTACTGGTCAGATCTGTTTCATGTGGCCACTACTCTCTATAAGGAAGGCTAGACATTGTCATCATTTTCTCAGTGTATATATGCCTAGCAAATCAGGGAATCTTATGACCAATAATGGAGAGAAGAGAAATAATCAGCCATCTCTACCAAGAGAGGAAAGTAGGAAAAAAAATTATTTTTTCAGTATGCTTAAAAAGACATCAAAGTCTTAGCTCTTCATATATGAATATTCCATTGTCATAACTGTTCCTCTATTTGTATCAAGTAATAGCAAATTTTTTTTTTAGATAAAGTGTCGCTCTGTAGCCGAGGCTAGAGTGCAGTGGCACAATCTTGGCTCACTGCAACCTCTGGGTTCAAGTGATTCTCCTGCCTCAGACTCCCTAGTAGCTGGAAGTACAGGCACACGCCACTGCACCCAGCTAATTTTTTGTATCTTTTTTTAGTAGAGACGGGGTTTGACTATGTTGGCCAGGCTACTTTGGAACTCCCAACCTCAGGTAATCTGCCTGCCTCAGCCTCCCAAAGTGCTGGGATTACAGGTGTGAGCCACCATGCACAGCCAGCTAGAAAGCAAATATTTTTAATGATACGTAACTAGGCAAGCAAAATTTTCAAAGCCAAATAAATTTTTTTTTTTCTTTTTTAATAGAGATGAGGTCTCACTATGTTGCCCAGGCTGGTCTTGAACTCCTGGGCTCAAGTGATCCTCCCACCTCAGCTTCCCAAAGTGTTGGGGTTATAAGTGTGAGCTGCTGTGCCTCGCCAAAATGAATACTTTTGGATTTTTGTTCCTTTCATTTGCTACAGGTAATAATCGTGGTAATAATACAAATGAATTAATTCCATAATATTCCCAATGTCTCATTTGTTCAATAGCTTAACCACTAGAGTTACGATAGTTCAGCAGAAAAATACTACTTAGGCCAGGCATGGTGGCTCATGCCTGTAATCCTAGCACTTTGGGAGGCCGAAGTAGGCGGATCACGAGGTCAGGAGATCGAGACTATCCTGGCCAACATGGTGAAACCCCGTCTCTACAATAAAAGTACAAAAAAATTAGCTGGGCGTGGTGGCACACGCCTGTAGTCCCAGCTACTCGGGAGGCTGAGGCAGGAGAATTGCTTGAACTCAGGAGTTGGAGATTGCAGTGAACCGAGAAAAGTGCCACTGCACTACAGCCTGGGTGACAGTGCGAGACTCTGTCTCAGAAAAAAAACAAAAAAATAGAAATATACTACTTGAGTGCAATTGGTGGTACTTTTTAGATGTGGTCATACAAAGTTCCCGAGAAAGCATCATTTAATTGGAGTTCTGAAGCATGACTAGGAATAGTTGGGTGGGGTTGGCAGCCATTCATGAGTATAAGAAGGAATAATAGTCAATTTCCCCTCTTCTCATTTCTCCTCTTTCATAAAATAATTACAGCACTCCTAAGAGCAAGACATATTAAATTGAATATGATATAGATCTGTCCTCATGAAGCTCAGACTTCAATATGTAAATAATTATAACAATAGCACATGATGTGATTTTCTTTTCTGTTGTAAGACTGAGTATGCCATTAATAATGAGAGTCAAGATACCCTTAACATTCCATTTTGATAGAGGATACAGATATAAATAAGTTGGCAGCAAAAGAGTATAGTAAGCTGCTTTTATAGAGTATCTTATATGTGATACTCTATAAAGATACATGATATCTTATACAAGATACTATGGTGACAGAAAAGAAAGAGTGGTCAGTTTTTGGAGGGAGGGCTGCAAAATATTTCACAGAGGAAATACTTTGAATTGGACCTCAAAGTAAGTTAAAAGCTGGGCACAGTGGCCCAAACCTATAATCCCAGTACTTTGGGAGGCTGAGGTAAGAGGATCACTTGAGACCAGGAGTTTAAGACCAGCCTGGGGGCAACATAGCAAGACCCTTGTCTCTACAAAAAAGTCAGTTGAGCATAGAAATATGAACCTGTAGTTCCAGCTAATTGGGAGGCTGAGCCAGGAGGATCACTTGAGCCTGGGAGTTTGAGGCTGCAGTGAGCTATGACTATGCCACTGCACTCCAGTCGGGGTGACAGCAGGACCCTATCTCTAAGGGGGGGAAAAGTTTTTTTTAAGTGAATTAAAGCATCCTTTTGTTCAATTTTTTTCTCCCTGGATAACTTCATCTTATTCAATAATATTAGCTACCATAGACATACATGCTGGGAGGAACCAATTTTAAATTTCTACCCCCAGGCTCTCTTTTAAACTCTAGACCTACATTTCTTTGCTAGACTCTTGCACCTTTAATGTCCCTAACCACCCTGAACTCATTCTGTCCGAAATGAAACTAATTGTCTTCTTCCATACTTCTTCCTCTATAATTCTAAAATCTTTGATGGCATCCAATTCTCATTTTAGAAATCTTTGGGGTTTTTTTTTTAGTTTATATCATTTATATTACCCGTTTTTTCTCCAGTCAACCCAAAATTGTAACAATTCCCCCTTAAAAAATTGTCTTGACTCCATTCTACCTTCTTTTTTTTTTTTTTTTTTTTTTTTTGAGGTGGAGTTTCTTTCTTTCTTTTTTTTCTTTCTCTGCTGACAAGAATATGAAGGAAGAGTTTCATCCTTGTTGCCCAGGCTGGAGCACAATGGCGTGATCTTGGCTCACTGCAACCTCCACCTCCCAGGTTCAAGCTGTTCTCCTCCCTCAACCTACCAAGTAGCTGGGATTACAGGCATCTGCCACCATGCCAGTCTAATTTCTGTATTTTTAGTAGAGATGGGGTTTCACCATGTTGGCCAGGCTGGTCTTGAACCCCTGACCTCAGGTGATCTGCCTGCCTTGGCCTCCCAAAGTGCTGAGATACAAGTGTGAGCCACCCAGCCCAGCCCACTCTACCTTCTTTTCTTTCAACATTCATAGCCCCATATCTAGGCACTTAAACATCTCCTCCCTGTGCTATTGCTATAGTATCTTAAGTGGTTTCCCTTCCTCTTATACTTCACCTTCTGGTACATTCTCTTTCCTTACTATGTAAAAAGAAAAAGTGGTTTTCAAACTTTTTAGACTCAGGAATCCTTTTCATTCTTTTTTTTTTTTTTTTTTTTTGAGACGGAGTTTCACTCTTGTTACCCAGGCTGGAGTGCAATGGCACGATCTCGGCTCACTGCAACCTCCGCCTCCTGGGTTCAGGCAATTCTCCTGCCTCAGCCTCCCGAGTAGCTGGGATTACAGGCACGTGCCACCATGCCCAGCTAATTTTTTGTATTTTTAGTAGAGACGGGGTTTCACCATGTTGACCAGGATGATCTCGATCTCTCGACCTCGTGATCCACCCACCTTGGCCTCCCAAAGTGCTGGGATTACAGGCGTGAGCCACCGCGCCCAGCCACGATCCTTTTCATTCTTAAAAAATTATCCAGGACCTCAAAGAGCTTTTGTCTAAATGTAGATTATGTCCATCAATATTTAGCATCTTAGAAATTAAAGCAGGAAATTTTAAAATATTTTTTAATAGCAGTAAATCCATTACATGTTAACATGTTGTAGACTGAAATGTGTCCCCTAAAATTCCTATGTTGAAACTCTAACCTCTAATATAACTGTATTAGGAGCTGGGATTTTTAGGAGGTCATCAAGGTTATATGAGGGGATTCTAATCTGTTAGTATTGCTGGCTTTGTAAGAAGAGGAAGAGGATTGCTGTCTCTCTGCTATGCAAAGACACAGTGAGAAGACTGCTCTCTGAAAGCCAGGAGAGAGCCCTCACCAGAGCCCAGCCATTTTGGTACCCTGCTCTTGGACTTCCAGCCTTCAGATTGTGAGAAAATAAACTTCTGTTGTTTAAGCCACTCAGCATATGATATTTTGTTATGGCAACCCTAGCTAACAGATTTTGGTACCAAGAAGTGGGGTGCCACTGTAATAAACACCTTAATATGTGGAAGCAGCTTTGGTGCTGGGTAATGAGCTGAAGCTGCAAGAGTTTTGAGGTACATGCTAGAAATATGGAGAAGGACAGTTTGGCGAGGTCTCAAGTGGAAATAAGGAATGTGTGTTTGGGAACTGGAGGACAGGTGATCCCTGTATAAGCTGGTAAAGAGCTGGCTGAACTGTATTCTAGCATTTTGGGGAAGGTAGAACTTGAGAGCAGTGAAATTGAATATTTAGCTGAAGAAATTTCTAAGCAAAGTGGCACAACTTGGTTTCTTTTGACTGCTTATAATGAAATGTGAAAGGAAAGAGATGAATAGAAGAACTTGTTAAGTAAAAAGGAACCACAATTTGAAGAC